TGAATTTCTAGGACACTGTAACTCTTTCCACCATTCAATAAAATTTACATATGAATCATCTATGGAGAAAATAAACTTCCTCGACACTACGAGTTACATCAAGAACGGAACCATTATAACGGACCTTCATACCAAACAAACGGACAAACATCAATTCCTTTCTCCTAAAAGTTGCCATCCTAAACACTGCTCCCGTGGCATCCCATTCAGCCAGGCATTGCGAATCACGAGAATATGCTCTACTGAAAATACGCAAAATGCTAGACTTGGACAACTACGTAAACATCTAGTTGTTCGAGGATACAATAACAACATTATTGATAGCGCTTTCGAAAGAGCAAACAAAACTAGTCACCAAGAACTTCTAGAGTACAAAGATAAGAATAAAGCAGCTAACAGAACACCTCTTGTACTCACTTACCATCCTGATTTTAAAAATGTGTCTTCCATTGTTCAGAAGCATTGGAAAATTATAGAAAATGATTCAAATCTTAAAAAAGTATTTTCCTCACCACCAGTCATGGCCTTCAGAAGACCTAAAAACATCCGTGACAAATTAGTGACATCTGTATTAGCAAAGCAGCCTACACCATCTCCCGGTTGCTACAAACAATGTGGTCGAAGGAACTGCTTGTGTTGTAAAGCTGCCAATACAAGCAGTTCTTTCATCAGCTCCGTTACTAAACAAAATTATACCATCTACTCAAATTCCAACTGTAAAACGGAGAACTCAATTTATATATTAACATGTGACACTTGTGGCATTCAGTATGTGGGAGAAACAATGGACAAATTTAATATTCGGCTCAATAACCATCGTTCATGGTACAAAACCAACAAATACTGTCCTCTCACAAAACATCTTCGTTCAACGAAACATTCTTTTGATAATGTTACTTTCCAAATCATAGAAGTCAACACCGAGTGGGACACCACGGCTAGAAGGAGAAGAAAAAGTTTTTGGATCCACCAACTCCACACTTTAGAACCTGATGGTCTTAACGAAAAAGATGAGAAAAGATACAGGAAAGATAAAGAAAATTTAGTACACAGCATCGTCCTTTTTATCCTGTAATATTGGCCAATGGACGTTGCTAACTTCAACTACCAATTTTGTAAAAATCTTAAACTTCATCCAAATTATGTATTATTTTCAAGGCAGCTAAATTCAAGTGCAACATATACATTGAGCTGCAAAAGTTTCTTATCATCTACATCCGATTTCACCTGGATAGATGCACGCTTGATAAAGCTAGTTAGTCTAGCGAAATATTGCGTTTATTTTCATCATTTTGTAAATATTTTAAACATTCTTATATTTACATACTAAATAGTGTGTTAAAATTACATTGTTAGGCAATCTATAATTTTATTTGTGTAATTGAATTAATCTCTGTACTGATTAATCCACACTCCCATAGATTTGTATGTGATGTGCTGCTATTTATAGGCACTTATATATATATATATATATATACTTATATTTTGTATACATATACGCCAAATTCCCATCACTTACTTTGAAGTGTTTCTAATCACGTAAACATGTCAAAAAACTTTTGTAATCATATTCATTGACAAGTTCCGACAACTTAACCATGTGTGATGAATATAACCGTATCGGCGTTAGATGTCTATTAAGTTCAAAAAGTTATCTCATAAAATCAATTATCACGTCTGATTAGTACAGTGAAAGGTATTCAATATATTATAAAAACGTTGTACTTAATAACAATATTAACAATGTTATCAAATCATCAGTCTGGTTAATTGATGGAGCAACCGTCGTTAAACGATGATCTCTTACACTTTTGATTTAGCATTTGAACGTTTATCGACTCAGGTGGTGGAACAGGTATTATATTATATGTGACTGTATGGACATTTCTTTGGGCTGAAAACTAGCAAACATGAATGTTGTGATTTTTCAAAGAATGAGTACCTATATTATCATGATTATTGCCATGTTTTACGGTATGTTTAATTTATAATTTTTAACACGAGTATATCAAATGATTTTTTAATTACTGTATGCAAAATATTTATTGAAAAGAAATGTATGGATCAGGAACGAGATTCACACAAAAACTTACGACTAATGTTGATCGTAAATATACTAAATTGTGTAATTTTACGATCAATTTTAGTCGTAAGATTTTATGTTATTCTCATTCCAATTTTTTTTAAAACAGGTGGTATCAGTTAAAGGAGTGTCTTAATATGGTATAGGTGAACAGCTTGTACTCAACTCATGTCATTGCACACAGCATTGCTACTTGTTTTGCAAAATGCAAACAATAACTTGTCTTTTCATTCCAATAAATTATAACAATGATCACAATTTGATTGTCAAATATTACATAACTTATTTACCATTCCTGTACTCCATATTCTAAACATGATATATACTGCAAATGTTCCAAGTGCGTCAATATGATTCAGATCGTAATTATCTGTTATTTCAGATATGTTTGTTTCAATATTTTAAGTCAAATTCTCTCACTGCTATTTGTGATTTTAGTTCCTTTTACAAAAAAGGATATTTATTTCACCTTGGTTGTCATATCATTGTTAAAGTGACAATAAAGATGAGTATATATTCATACTTTTATAACATTTTTGCGGAGATGTTACTTTCTTTAAGGTTTTTTATGAAGATAACCTTATATCAACAATTGTATTTTTAAGGATACTATAATTGATCTGTATATTCCAAGAATATATAGTTGTTGCATTTAACATCAAAACAATTTCATCTTAGCCATATATTAATTGATTTCCAGGCACTGCAGGAATGTTACTACATTGAAATGTCAAAATCACAATTGGGAAGCTTAAATCATCTTGTTTGTCGTAATGTTTAGCCCTCCACCGACCCTCATTGTCACGTTATAAATGTGAGTCAAGATATGCAGGAGACTTAACTGTATCCTTTGTTTCACATTAGATGGGATAGATGTGTTCAACGTAGTCACTAAACTTTGAAATATTTAGTGGGAGAACAGCATCTGTATAGCGGAACGTGAAAAAAAAAATGAATAATGCTAGCTTCTTTTCATTTATCTTAAAAAGATTTTGTATGGAGTCTAATATGAATAAAGAAACAAATATCTAGGTAAGTACGATTGTTGTTTGAATAACAAGCGCTTCAAACGTAACAAATATGTTATCAATCAGGAAACCAAGCATCTTGATGATGTCAGTTTGAGAGATTTTTTACAAGGTATGATTTATCTCTCCCTAAAAACGATATCTATATCTACGTTGTCCATTCTTTTTATGGAACAAAGTGTTGCCTTTTTACTTAATACATATACTGACGTGATAATTGAACAGGTAAAAAATCATTGTGTAGCTATGTTTGCAATGTTACGATGTTTTGATTATTTTAAGATTCTTCAAACAAATGTGATATCGGACAAAGGGTTGTCTTGATATGATAAGAGTGAATTACTATGATACTAAGTTTAAAGCTACATACAGCATTTATCGTTTTTGTGCCAAATGCAAAATTGTATGTTGTTGTTTTTTTGCCATTGTTTATGGTACTGATCACGCTTTGATTGTAAAAACAACTAAGCTCTTTTATTAAAAAATGTTGTACTGTATAGTATCAATGCGACGTTTACTGGAAATTGTACAAATACACTAGATGATTTTTCGAATCTTTCTTATATTTCATGGTCCAAATATTCAAAGAAAACAGAAATACTACTTCCTAAACCCTTGAGACACGCATCTTTGACATATCGAATCCTGGTTACTAAAAAAAAGTCAGAATTACAAGTAATTTAATTTGAAGTATCAGAAAAAGAAATCCACCTTTAAATGTTACAATAAGGAACTAACAGTCTATGAAAATTCGTTAATGATCAAACTTGTACTTTTGGAGTGTAGCTAACTTTCGAGAAAATAGAATACCTCCCTACTCTCACATATTCAGCTGCAAAAGTCGATTTGCCAATTAAATAAGTGTGTTGCATTCCATTGCTTTATCAGGCTAGCTTTGCCTATGTGCGCCTCTCCTTGCCAACCTCTTCTGATTTTCTTATGAGTCGGAGTTTTTTCAGACACTTGTCAAGAACAATAAGATCAAAGGAGCCAAATCATTTAATTTCACATATTGACAATGTTCTTTCCATTAACAGTCCACACTTGTCTGATTGTGTTCCATTAATATATCCTCCAGAACAAGAAATTAAAGAAACAACTGAGACGGTTTCCTCTGCCTCATTTTTAGACGTATACCTCAAATTTGACATTAACGGTCATCTCAGTACCAGAATCTAAGACTAACGAGACGATTTTGATTTTGAAATTATCAATTTCCCCCACCTAAGTAGCAATATACCAACTTAACCTTCATATGGAATATTCATTTCCCAAATCATTCGGTATTCCAGAGATTGCAGCTGCTACTCAGACTTTGTAAAACGTCACCAGCGTCTCAGCAGAAAGTTGATGAACCAGGGTTATATCAAAGAACGTCTCGTCCTTTTTCTAAAAAAAAGTTCATCAGAAGATACCAAGACCTTGTTGATAAATATTCCGTATCAACTTCACATATATTATACACGATGGTCTTGAAGTATAGATTCCAGGTACTGACGTTGTTTATGATCTTAATTACGTGTTAAAGTGTTGTTTTATTTGTCTTTGTAAATTGTTGATTTAACTGTTTTGTCTATTTTTGGTAATATCAAGTTGACGTGGTTTTGTACTTATACATCCCGTTATTGTATTATTGTGTTTGGTAAATTTTTCATTCTTGTCTTTCGTTATTGTATATGTGCTTTGTCTAAATACCTTTTCTTTTCTTTTTTTCTGTTGACAAATTTGTTTGTTTTTATAGTGATTAAGATTATACCACAATCTTGACTGCTGTACTCCTATATTTGACATTTTAACCTATTATGTCTGTTTGTTTTGTTTATAAATTGTTGTCAATATAATGGAATTGTATGCGACTGTCATACAAGTTAGCAATTTATCTAGATATAAAACCAGATTTAATCCACCATTTTCTACATAAGAAAATGTCTGTACCAAGCCAGGACTATTACAGTTGTTAACCATTCGTTTGATGTATTTGAGTTTTTGATTTTGCCATTTGATAAGGGACTTTTCGTTTGGAATTTTTCTCGGAGTTCGGTATTTTTTTTATTAAATTTTTTTCAAGAACAATAGGTCTTTCTTTTGAGGGAACAACCCGGACCATGTTTCAATGAAATATGCTTCAAGGCATAACATAATGACCTACATAAGGTCATCATTTACCCTGATTAAAATGCAAACTAGAGTTTGTTAAAACATTTCTTTTAAAAGCAGTCACATGTTGATGCCAACGGAGGTTTTCTGAACAATTTCTAATATATAATCGTCTATTGAAAAAGAGAGGCGAAGGATACCAAAGGGACAAAGTCGAAAATAAACTGACAACGCAATGGCTAAAAAAACCAAACAAACAGACAAAACATAGTACACAAAACACAACATAGAAAACTAAAGACTGAGCAACACGAACTCAACCAAACAATGGGGTGATATCAGGTGATCTGGAAGGGTAAGCAGATCCTGCTCCATTATTGAACATATATTTTCTTATAAAATGAACTCTTCTTTTGAAGGTATCTTAGTTAATTGCGTAAAGATACAGCACCGAGGCCGTACTGGCCATGGAGGACATAACTATGATGGTATGGTTGTAAAATACGACAAGTATTGGGGGATACATGTGACATTTTTGAACTGACAAACATGGTTAATAACCTAAATGTTAAATGTAGATGTTTTTCTACCAATAGAACAATGTTGTGGTTTAGACTTTAAATTTATGCTGGTGTAAGCGTTTTTTTATCATTAGTATCAACTTTTAAAAGTGCTATACACCATATTGTGTTAACATCCAGAAACAATATAGAAGTTTTAGAATGTTTGTGCCTAAAACTATTTTAGGGATCTTGACATTTAATGTTTTGAATGATTCAAGTTAACCTGCAAAAGAGAGTGTGTTAGATAGTATCCCTGAATATCAAAATACTAACGAACAGGGAAACATATCCCAATAATGTACACTCAGTATAAGTGAGAAGTTTAGCTAGCTATAAAACCAAGTTTATTTCACCATTTTCTACATAGAAATGCCTGTACCAAGTCAGGAATATTGCAGTTGTTATCCATTCGTTTGATGTGTTTGAGCTTTTGATTTTGCCATTTGATTAGGGACTTTCCGTTTCGAATTTTCCTCTAAGCTCGTTTACACAGTATGTGCATTAAATTATTTAATTGTATTAAAAAAAGATAAGCTAGAAATGATTTTTTTTTTGTAAACGATATGATAAATTATCAAAACACAAGAAAATAACAGTTTTCCTGTAAAGTAAACATTGTCTTGAACCATACTATTGGTCGATGATACTAGTCAACATTAAAAATATGAAAATGCAATTTATTTTATTACATTTTACAGTTGTCCTTACATCACAGACAAAAGATGTGGAATTTGGAAAAAATATGTCCCTTATATGTGAAGCAAAGCATGCATGTACGGTGAACTCGTGGTCGGTAAAAGAACAAAACGGAACATACGAAACTGTAGTCAGAGAGTCAACACCATTCAACAGAACAAAGTATGGAGCACATCTGAGTAAAATGGAAAGAAGGACCATTTATGAATTGATTATTTACCGTTTGGAGAAAAATGATGTGCGTAATGACTACCGCTGCGATTGCGATACTCACTCCGGATACATAACTGACATGTATGACAGACTAACATGTAAGCTCTTATATTATAATTTAGTCAAGTAATATAAGCCCGTTTTCCAATTCATGTTTAAAACTTAATGAAGAAAAACAACATTGTTTGGTTGAAGTAAAAAACGAAACAATTATTTTTCACATCATATCATTTGTGAATTTTTCATATTAAGTTGTGCAGATACTTTAAATGGTTTGTTTGTGTCAGGAATATGGCAGCTGTTTTTCACTTGTTCTGTTGATTTGTAGCGTTTAATTTTGACAGTTTTTATGGACTTTCCCTTTTTGAATTTTCTTTTGAGTTCGGTATTTTTTGTTATACATTTTTTTTAAAAGATCTTACAATCCTTTCTCAAATACGACATATTTGTTATCTGGGTGTACTTTGTGGTTGTAACTGCGCTGAAATACAAATTGTGCTTCCTCATTATGAATGCCTGTTTAAGGATGATAAGTATGACGAAACGTCAACTTGTATATATTGGGAAGGTTTTGCTCATTTTTTAGGTCTCTTAATATATGTTTAAGAAAAACACTCCACGGGAAATAATTAAACCACACAAAAAAATGTACTTCAATATATCAGTCAAAGTTTAAACTATATGGAATGGTGTTTTTTCCGCATACCGTAACTATCATGATTCAAACTTATATCACACCCAATGATTAAAATGAATTATGTCAAACATGTATCAATTTTTGTATGATAATTGTAATGGTACTTACAACAGAAACAATTCTGTACTCAGTATTTGAAACGTGGAATCAATATCTAAAAGTTAAATGTTGTTTTGTTTTCTACTTTTAGGTAAATAATAAGTCATTCGAGTACGAACATTTCTTTTATTAGATATTTTACAACTATTCATTATTAAAGATTTTCCCAAAAGTGTTAATAGTAAAATGCAGGTGATTTATAATGTTTGCAAATTTTGTAAAATGACACTTGCTTTATTGAATGATATCTCATCATTTTAATTTGTCTGTTCATCTGAAAACATCTTTTCCTGTTTAATTCTTTTAAGTCGATCTTATGAGATTTTTAGTTTTAGTCTGTTTTGTTAAAATTAAATCACTCACTTTTCTCTAATTTCATCCCATATTCTTATTATCAGATTTGTTTAAAAAGGGTGTTTTAGAAATGGATAATAATTATATTTTTTTTAACTATTCTAGATCTGTGACAGGGTATAGTTGCACATGTCACAGGCCAGATGCACAGTAACGTTTTTGTAATGAAGTGTTTAAAACTGTATAGTTCTAAGTTTTGTTCTGAACAAAACAATAATGAATATTATGAGGAATATATTATTTGTCAACAAGGTAAAAAAAAACAAAAAAAACAGAACCTATTGGGTAAAAACAATTGCAGAATATATGAAGAGCAGACTGTGTTTACAAAATCTCATTATAAAAGGTTGATAAAATAAACCGTTTTAAAATCTAATGTATTTTGGTTAATATTTCCAAACGCGTAAATCAAAACATTGTGATAGTCAAAACATCTCAAGCAATGAAAGTGCTATCAAGAATAGTGGCAGCTTCCGAACAGTCTTTTTAAACTACAATCTTAGAAACATTTACTTGCCTGTTATATCTGGATAAACATATTTCTAAGAACTTACATTTATTTGTGGGCTTTTCATGGACATTGATGCCATTTATTTTAAATTTGTGATTAGAATTTTTAATAATGGTGACATAGTGAAAAATATAAGCTTGTAGTTTTTTTCTAAACTGTTTGGATTCCCTTTTCATCTGTTTGTTATCTAAAAGCACAGTACAAGAGCTTTCTCCTCACATTCTATCTTACAATTATATTGTTCAGTTATTTTGTATCGAGCAAAAGTTGCTTTTCAATATACAATCTATACAAAATATGATCATTTGGCAAAAACTGTAGCTTAAGAAAAGCTCACTGACTAATACATTATATATTATATATTTTAACTGCATTTTGGAATCTTTTTTACTTACTGTGATTTGTACAAAGCTAAGTAAAAGTTGCTAAGAATCGGAGAATCTATTTTTACTACCTCTGGGGTAAATTCGTCAGAAATCAATCGACCAATTGCGGGATGACAACCAGACAAAAAGGCTACTGATGGTGTCATGTTAGTTTTGAAATGACCCCATTCGTGTGGAACATAATGTATGCGCTATCTTTATGACGCCATTATAACGGGCACAAAATTAACAACATGTCAAAAATGCTGACATTATTTGTTGATTTGATTAGCAAATCTTTTTTAATCCCTAAGATGAATTCTGCTAGGATAGAAATCATGAGTAAACATATATTTTACAATTGGGACTTATATCTCCTTGTGTACATGTTAATAATGAAAAGGTATTTCTTTTTTTATTCACTTCTTTTTTTTCAGTTATTAAGGATACTAAGGGAACCAAAGGTAAGAAATTAAACAAAGGTCTTACATCAGCATGGATTACAATTAAAAGTTGCACGAATGAATAGATATTGTAGTAAATTAGGCGATGAGTGTGTTTCTTTCCCATTTCAGGCAGGAAATCAGACAATAAATATGTGTAATATTTTTTTTACTGATAAAGTACTTAAACATATGATGGCTATGATTAATTAAATGTTTTTACATATTATATGATATATATAATAGTGTGTGGTACTATAAAGAAATCCTAATGCATTATTACCCTTTTTATCGATTTTTAATATTAGATGTTAACAGAATGTGCAAGCAGCATACATGTGTTGGATATTTTTTATTATTGATCTACAATGAACTTGATAGAATTCCATATAATTTTTTCAATTCAAAAGAACATCTAACATTAAAATTTAAGTTAAATAATAGTTATTTCCTTTCTTTAAAGACACATAACAGCCTGGGTAGGATAGTTACATTTTTCCAAAGATAATGTTTGGATACGTAAATATAATGCAACCCGAAAAACTTGGATGTCTTATCGAGAAATTATAAACAGAGGAACTTGAATTTTTTTTTGGCGTTAACATTAAGCATCCGTCTTTTTTTTCATTTTTATTTTTTTTTTATAGTTGTATCATGTGCAGTTTCAGTTCCAGGAAAAAATAGGTTAATACTGCAGCATGTTTTATTCGTAGATCCATCGCTCAATAATGTTGGACATATCTTGTTGGTTATTGGTGGAATAGTGATTTTGTCAATAATAGCATTTTTGTTATACAATCTGCTTAAGAAACGGAAAAAGTGTTGTAAAAGGTAATTATCATTTATCATCTACTTATTACATTACAGTCATTGTTTGTTAACAGTTGTCATTGATATTTTTTTTGCATTAGTCCGTAATTCTATAGCATCTTAATTTTGTTTCGAATGAAAAGATAGGATTGGGGTATTATTTCAAGTTTACGAATGAAAAGAGGTAAAAGAAAAACCTAACACAAACGATAAACAACTAAACTCTTACAAAGAAAACTAAAGTTGACAACTACAAACCAACAAATATCCAAATTTTACTCGAGTAATGTTCATTACGATTTAGATAGATACAATAGTAGTATATCGTTTTTCGAAACAAGAAAATGCATTTTTATTACACAAATCAATGAATTGATGAAATTACTCTAATTCAAAACAGAACGTGATAAGAAAACTTTGACAAAAAAGTATCTCTGCCATTGCATTAGATCCGGGTAAACTTCTAAAAGGTTACCAATTCAACATTGTAATTAGATCTTTGAATATATTTTTTAATGGTATTCATATTGATTTTGTTATCATTAAACTAAAATCAAACTAAATATTATTTGTAAATACATATGCACATTCATGGCCCACAATCTGTCAATACCTGGCATTGCACAAGGTCGTATTTTTTTCTGACTTTTTTTTTAGTGTTTAACGTCTTAACACTAAATCCATAGGATGTTGGATGTGTACTGATTAATATTTTAGTCTTAGATATACATGATTTTTAGTTGTTATTCGCTTCGAACTAACTGTCAGTAACTGCGAGTACTCTCAGATCTGTACATAGTGTCTTATTTATTGTAAGGATGTATAAATACCAGGCCACGTGGGGTCTGTTTATTTTTTAGATGTCTTTCTGTCGATTTGCTTCGAAACTACATCCCATCACTGCGTTATTGTGCTATGGTACATTTTTATATTCTTGTCTTTTGTTTTTGATAATGTGCTTTGTCTATATTTATTGTTTTTCTTTTTCTTTGTTGACATATTTGTTTGTTCTGATAGTGATTACAATTATAACACAACTTTGACCGCTTAACTCCTATTTTTGACATTTTACCTATTATGTCTGTTTGATTTGTTCACACATTGTTGTCAATATAATGGAATTGTATACACCTGTTATACTAGTGAGAGGTTAAGCTATCTATAAAATCAGGTTTAATCCACCATTTTCTACATATGAAAATGTCTGTACCAAGTCAGGAATATGAAAGTTGTTATTCATTAGTTTGATGTGTTTGAGCTTTTAATTGTCCATTTGATTAGGGACTTTCCGTTTTGAATTTTCCTCGGAGATCGGTATTTTTGTTATTTTACTTTTTGATAAGTTAAGCCATTTTCAACTGATTTTTATAGTTTGTTCTCATGTTGCACTGTTAAACAACTTTCCAAGGTTAAGGGAGTGTTGAAGCCTCCAAAATAATTATAACCCCACCACATTCTGGATGTGCATGTCCCAAGTTTGTAGACTGTAATTCAGTGGTTGTCGTTTGTTGCTGTATTTCATATTTGTTTTCGTTCAATCATAATCATAAATCAGGCCGTTAGTTTTCTCGTTTGAATATTTTTACATTTGTCATTTCGGGGCCTTTAATAACTGATATGTGGTATAAGTTTTGTTCATTGTCAAAGGCCGTTCGGTTACCTATACTATGTTATTTAGTCTATTGTGGAAAGTTGTCTAGTTGGTAATCATACCACACCTTCTTATTTTTATATATAGCATATACCGATTAAAAACTTTTTGTGACATATTTCATTCGGTGATTTGAAAAGTGATATTGGTTAACTTAGATACATATAAGATGTTTCGGTACATTGAACATTAAAGTGTTCCCTCTTGTTTTTATAATATGCTGTTGTTTCATAAGAACATTACATTTTTATGATAGTACTACTTATATGTTTCATGTAGACTTGGATGGAGTGTTGTCTCATTGGGACTCATACAACATCTTCTTATATCTATGTATTTTAAAGACTTTTTGGTGCATTTTTTGTTTTGCTCGTTTATCTTTTATTCATAAATTTTGACTCTGCTGTAATATTCATTTAAGATACTACGCTTTGCAAGTTCCATCTTCATACGAATCATCAGTTGTTATCGAATCAAGACAGTTTGAAGGCCATATCCTATACGGTGAACATTAAAAACAGAACATTCTCAAGACTTTTGCAGAAAACGGCTTGTTAGACATTTTATGTCAGGAAAAAAAAACCTTACCATTTCGAATATTTAAACTTTTCATAAAAGGTTCCTGTACAGCAAATGAAGATATGCATTAGATTTCATGTCAACACAAAAGTACTGACTACTGGGATGGTATTGGGATCGACCCAGGGATTGTAAAAAGCTTATGATTTGGTACGCCAGACGCGCGTTTCGTTTACATAAAACTAATTAGCTGCGCTCGAAGTAAGTCATAAAGGATAAAAGGAAAATCTTTAGAAAATGGTAATTTTTCTAAAACGTATTATGTAAAGAAATGCTTGCAAAGTTGTAAACTCGGAATTCATTTGCCGTTACTATCAGCTGGTTTGGTTCTCAGGGTACAATTCTGATGACTTTACAGAAATGCTTGTTGGTCATATCTGATGTCGAGCTCCAACAGTTAATTAAAGTTTTGTGAAACAGAAACTTTATTTTATCTATTCGTACATACACAAACAATGACAATGTGAATTTTTACACAGTAGTTGATATGTGTTTGGTGTTTGTAATTGTTAATGACTATAACATATCATTATATATTATTTACTTTAACGTGTTACTCTTTTAGATCTGATGGTGTTACATACAGAAATAGAGAAGGACATCAAAAACTTTAGAAGAGTTTAGTGGTGACTTATCAAATGATGTACTTACATTTTAAAATGTGTGTGCTAAGATTTATTATGTCAATGTTTTTGGGCTGTTGCGATTTTTTATTACCTTTATAGACATATGTTATTTCGGCAATGATTGTGTCAAAAAACTCCTTTTTTTATCTCTGTGAAAAATTCAGACATCTATTTGAAGTGTGAACAGATTTTGTTTTCTTCATTTGAATGTCTAGAACGGTAGTAAATAAAATCATTATAGACACCAAGATTAAAAGTTTGTACGCCAGACGCGCGATTTGTTAGGGTCGTCAAGTTGGTTACGTATTCCTTATTATTTCCTTATTTCTTATTCCATATTTGTTACCTATGCATTACTTGTTCCTTATTCCTTATTCGTTATCCATTAGTAACTTATTCGATCTTAATATGTTTTCCCCTTTTAATGCTTTATTTTCTTATCTCTGGTAATAGTTCTTGGTTTATAGAGGTGAAATTACCCATTTAGCGCTCGACTAATACCCTGTTACATATTCACTACTTATTTACTCCTTATTCGATTTTTATACGTTGCACCTATTTATGGCTTTATTTTTGTGTCTCTAGTAGTGGCTTTTTTGTTCGTAGAGGTGAAATTATCCTATTAGCGCATGTGTACCCGTTCCGGCGCTGTACTGATACCCTGTTACTTATTTGTTCCTTATTCGCTTTTTATACGTTGCAAATTTTTAATGATTTCTTTTCTTTTATTTTTGTCTAAGGTGGTAGTTCGTGGATCGTAGAGGTGAAATTACCTTTTAAGTGAGCATGTTACCGCAATTGCCCTTTACTGATACCCTGTTGCCTATTCGTTTCTTATTCGTTCCTAATTTGCTTTGTATACGTTGCACATTTTTACTACTTTATTTCTGTGTGTCTGGTGTTGGTTCTTGGTTCGTAGAGGAGAAATTACCCTATGAGCGCATCTGTACCCGTTTCAGCGCTCGAGTAATACCCTATTACTTGTTCGCTACTTATTAGTTCCTTATTCACTTTCTATACGTTTAACCTTTTTAATGCTTTGTTTTTCTTTATTTTCTTGTTTCTAGTGTTAGCCCTGTGTTCTTAGATGTGAAATAACCCTATTAGCGCGTATGCACCCGTTTCAGCGCTTGATGGATACCCTGTTACTTATTCGTTCCTTATTTGCTTTTTTTACGTTGCATCTTCCTAATGCGTTCTTCTTAATTATTTTGTTTTTGTCTCTGGTGTAAGCTCTGGGCTGGTAAAGGTGAAATAACCCTATTTACGCATATGGACCTGTGTCCGCGATCGACTGATACCCTGTTACTTATTTGCTACTTATTCATTCCATATTCACCTTTTTACTGCCTTCT